CGCTATTAATTATCTATGTACTAACTGATTTGCCAATTCAGTATTTATATATCCATTAATCTATTTGTTATATTTCTTAATTAATCTAATTCATATATATATATAAATATATATAATATATATAATATATATATATATTATTCATTTCATTATATATGTATTTATCTCTACTGTCCCAAATGCTCATCTTAGCCTCTCAAAATGGTGCATGTCAATATTTTTTTTAACGTTACATGTGTATTAAATTACTCTTCATTTTACCGATATACAGATACACTAATTAAGAAAACGAAAATGATAGCGATGATGGTGATAGTAGTCATTAATCTGATAATTATGAAAGTAACGGCAATGACACAATTAAGCAATGGTAAGAGGATAATGATAAGGATAATTATAGGTATAATGATAATATTAACAGTAATGATAATACCAATGATGATGATGATATTAATGATGGATATGACGGTAAAAATTATGATAATGATGATAACAACTACATCATAATAGTACTAACAGTGGCAATGGAAACAAGATGCAAAATGCGACTGCAGCGCCGCAGCGGAGCGCCGAGCTCGTGCGAGTTCAAGCCGCGCCCTCCGCCGCAGGTCCTTGAACCTCGGTCCTCGCTGCGCCTCACCTTTACTCGGCCGCCGAGTGCCAGTCACGGGATCCTAAGTTCCCTCGTACCTGGAGGGCGGGGGAGGGGGCGCAGGGGGGGAGTTAGGGAAGGAAGGGGCGGGTAGGGGCGGAGGGAGGAGGGAGGGGAGGGGTCTCGTATGCAGGAGATATAAAGCTGCACCAACACGCCGGCCGCCGTCGGGCGGCTCTCTCGGCGTCGCACTCGCCCGCGAAGGACGCGCGTTGCCCTGCGGGAGACCGACGGCGGAGACGCCGCTGACGAGGGTTGCGAAGAGACACGCGGAAGCGACGATGGCACCGAGCGTCAGGATCGGGTGTGCGCCTGGCCTGGGGTTTTGCTTACCGCGGGATGGATATGTAGTCTCGTAATATTTACTCGTAGTAACAACGATTCCATGAAAAGCATTAATGATTTTACATTTCTCTGGATACGAGCGTTAGTCCATGAAAGCCAGGGGTCAAGACGTTATAGCCGTCCACAAATGAAAGCTGTACCAACGATTACTAATTCCCTTGCAGCTACAATTCAGTATGACAAGATCCAATATTGACGTGAATATCAACATCATTAATATATCATTGAAATAGTCACCAAGGCCTTCAACCATAGCATGACTAAAAAAGGTAATAGAAAAAAACTCTGAAAAGTGGAAGAATATTTGAATGAATGTACAATGACAGAACTACAAACAAACACACTGTTACGTATCAAATAAACAAATAAAGTTATGCCAGTTTTTACTGTTTTCTTTTTGTTTCATTGTCCAGCTACTCTTCAGAAAAAATAACTAATTTAGAGAATGTAATCTTTGCGTTATAGCTGATTGAACGTTACTCAGGTGTGATATTACTTTGGGAGAGTAAATACGTTTTAAATATTACTCTCGGTTGTCGCAGAGTTCCTGTTTATGCCACAGGTTGGGCGTGATGGGCGTCTCGAGTTTTCAGTATGGAATCCGCTTAGGAAATGAAGGTTTCAAAGTTGTGACCTGCTTTCGTAATGAGTAAAGTATGAATATTAATGAGGATGGTGTTTATGATATGTTGATTGTGATATAATGATGATAATGATAATAGAAATGATGAAAGTAACAGTGGTCATAATAATTATGATAAGGATTAATCATTATTGTTATTATCATCATTATTATATTATTGTTATTATTATTATTATTATTATGATGATGATGATGATGATTATTATTATTATTTATTTTATTATTATTATCATTATTATTATTATTATCGTCATTA